GATTGGATTTAAAATACTTTAACGTGGTCATAATGCTGAAATTTACTAAAAATAATTAATAATTATATTCAAATCAACAGCTGTCTGGTTTGTTTATACCACTTTTATGCCCGGTATTGCGGTATTATAAAACATTTTACTTGCCAAGTAAAATTTAGTTTGAAAGTAAAATAATTTACTCTGCAGATTTGCGTATTTTAAACACATAGTAAATTAATTCTGGAAGTAAATCTGCAAACTAAACTATTCCTTAGTTTTCTACCAAGTAAATTTTATTTAACAAGTAAATATGACAGTTTCAATGTCTTTTCGACTGGTGTGAAAATATTTAGATTTAATAATATTTTGAAATGTCTTCAGTATCATCAGTGTCAGATGTTAATTCTCCAACTGTATCTAGTGTTGATAGTGACTGGTATTTTTCAATAAATATACAGATGGATTGTGATGCAAATTTAAATGTAATCAATGTAGTTGCTAGATGGCCTGGTTACTCCCACAATAGTCATGTATTTGATAATTCTCTGATAAGAGCTCAGTTTGAAAACAATGAGTTTTGTGAAACATATTTACTGGGTGATAGTGGTTATCCATGCCGAAAATATATTTTAACTCCCTTACATGATCCACAAACGCCAGCTGAAAGGAAATACAATTATACACATATCCACACACAGAATACAATTGAAAGAATGTTTGGTGTCTTAAAGAGAAGGTTTCCTTGTTTGTCTACGGGACCAATGGAATAGAAGCACCACTAAATTGATAGAAATAAAATCTTCCGTCCTTCCATGATACTTCAGGCCTTCAAAGCGACAACATCAAATCCCAATAAGAAGTCTCAGATTAGGACACACCTCTACAACACATGAAGACTTGTTGAAGAGAGAACAGTGTGTTATGTTTGTGAATATAAAGTGACAATGAAGCACATACAGTTGAAAGACTATATCACCTCATTCCAAAATGTAAAGAGTGTCTAGTCAGTGTAAATAGAGCTATTCCAATTATAGTGGCAATTTGTGTATTGCATAATATATGTAGAAGGAGGAATGATGTGCTGACTGATAGTGAAGATGGCAGTAATCACGCCGAGTCAGAAGATAAAAATTTAAACAAGGTCACTAGAAATCAAGATAATTTTGCTGTAAGAAATGCTGTCATTCGTACTGCATTTATTAATTAAATAAAATGTTTATTTTAAAATTATTTACGGTTCAATAAAACATAATATAAGAATTATGAGTGTTTTAATTATTGTATATGTATTTTTAATTTAACAAAAAAAGTGTTGACAATTCAAATAGTCACAGAAATAAAATTAACTTAATTGTGTCAACTTTTTCTTATTAAACTCTGGTAATAAATCTATGAAACAAACTAAATATAACACCAGTAACTTAATGAATATGATATTTATGATACTATAATGAACATGTATTTTTATTACAGAATTTTTCTACAATAAATACATACTTATAAGAAAGTGTTTATATCCACTTTTAACAGATAACTTTGTGAAAAATAGGCAAAATGTTACGGGATCTATTAGTATTTCATTTATTTATAATATTCTCAAGCGATATATTGTCATTTCAAGGAAGTCATGAAAATAAGACCATATCAGCAAGTAGATACATAATCCTTTCATTTTACGGTATTTGAAAAACAAAGTATGTACATATATTTCAGTTTCATTGTTCAGTTTTTTGTGTTTATTATTATTCTTGAGTAAAGTGTTTGATTTTAAGACGGCAAAACGGAATTTGTGTTGTAAAAATATTAGATGAAATAAGCATTCCTTAACTTTTCCAGAGGACACAGCAAGGTTTGTAAATTATTATTTCCTCTTAAATATTGCTTGGGTACCAGTATATGATGTCATTTATATGATACTTCTACAATAATAAGATAACCAATTTTTATTTTAATAACTAATTTACAATAATATAAAATTAACCAAACGGTATTAAATTTCTAAATTCTCGAACTCAACCCCATATTGATGTTTCAGTTGTAGAATCTTTTCTTTAACTGCCAACTCTTTTGTGTCTGTTTCTCTTTTCTCTCGTTTCTGTTTTTCTAATTTTAAAACGTCTCTACTTAACTCTTCCTTTTCTTTTCTAATTTTAAGAATACTTAATTTTATTTTTTCCTTCTCTGAATCTTCTTCACACTTATTATTCTTTTTGTGATGTGGGACTTAAAGGCAAACTAAATGCACGACCAAATACTTACCATGTCGAGATAGCATTATGAGGTTTTTTCCGGTTTTTCCTCATAATTTACTATGGAATCACTAACAGGAGAATTTTACTGTCATCATGGCATGTGTTTGTCTTTTTAAAGATGAATTACATGCTATGATTTTTTTCTGACAGATATTCTCAATTTAATGTTGATTTCATCAAAGAATAGGGGAACTTGGGTCACAGTGAACCATGTTACACAGTGAACCAGCAGCCCCCACTCTTTGCCTATGCACTTTATCGCCCAACTCTATTCTTCAAATATCTGCTGGTTTTACGCGACACCTTACTACTTTAGTTCGCATCAAGCTAACATAGTGTGTAGATGTTTATTTCGATATCTGCTGAACGGTAAGTCGAATGCTTTTTTTCACATTGTTGTATTTATTTGTTTTGTTCCAAGCCTGGCGGTAAATTCAGATCAATTATAGTTCCAAGCTACTTAATAGGTCTTTGTACATACTGTTTATCTTGTCTTTCAAATCAATGTAGTTTATTTTTGTTTAAATAAATTTTTTAGTTAAATAGGTGGCGGTGGGTAACAGCGAACCATTGACGAATGGGTTACACTGAACCTGGTTCACTGTAACCCATAATGGTTTACTGTGCAAATGTTATACAAGGCCGGTTGTTCGAACGCTAATCAACAATGATTATTATCAAATATTTAATTACTGTCACCAACTGTCAATGTCAACTTTAATTGGGTTGCTGAAAACATAATAAATTGAGTACAATTATGAGATTAGTGAATCAATTAACATAACAATTATTAACATAATTGATTAACTAATTTCATAATGGTAATCGATTATGTTTTCAGCAACCCAATAAAAATTGACATTGACAGTTGGTGACAGTAATTAAATATTTGGTAATGATCATTTTTGAATAGCGTTCGAACAACCGGCCCTTAGAATGTATGCATTTAATTTCATTAATCATAATTTGGTTTATGATTACGTTTAT